AAAGACTGTTCGATATGCGAGCTCTGCGGTTATTTTATACCAACCAATGGCTATGATTGTTTTGAAACCATAAGTGGAACAGTTATTTGTACGTGTCCTGATCAACAGTTTCGAATGAATCAACGGTGTCGTAAGTTACTATTCAAGGTTCTGGTTTCATACTATGTGTTCCAAAGCTCGCTTGTGTAAAATAATTTCATATAATACCACCTTTTGATTAAACCTAATTGACTATATTTTTTTCTTATGAAAGTTACCATCGTCAAATTTTTATTCGTAAAGAGAAATATCTCAGCTACTCTTGAAAACTACCCCTAGCCACTGAAATACGAAGTATCACTTTTATCCTATTGCAAAAACTATTCATCAGGGAAATACTCCAACTAGTTTCACGATATCAATCTCAACTTTTTCCCATTAATAAAGCTCGATGAGACTAAGAGAATTCCAGAGAGATTTATATATTCTCATGACATAGTACTCAATAGTAAGGGTTGCTACACTGAATACTCAGTACACAGCAAGATATTCTCGAGAGAACCGAATTGGAGACGTCAACTGAAGTTTTCAGTAAAAGAATATATTTCTTTCCAGTGTTTTGAAAGAGGATGGATGGTGGTGACAATGTGATGTTGGAGACTGAATGACCATGTTGGTAGGTGTAGATGGGTGAAGGTGAAGAGAAGACCCTCACCCTCATCCAAAACCTCTCACCCACGTCTACCTTTACACCGATCCTTAACAACTCATAGTCATTTAAGTTTAACTAAATAGTGGAGTTATGCGTCATTATTTTACACAAACGACTTTTGTGACACACTGCATATTCTGCCTCAAAAGGACTCTGTGATCGCCAAAGCACATGCGGAGTATCCGGAGCTATTTGTGTTGAACAAGCATTTCCTGGAAATTACACATTCGGCTGCTTTTGCCCCAATTCCATTGCATCGATCGGCTGGCCGTGCCCGGTACAGACGAGTAAGTTGATATTGTGTTTCCGTTAAGAGCCGTTCTATTAAAATTCTTGATATTGCTTGGGAATATACAGGGTGTCCCAAAAATCTGTCATGAAAAATACTTGAATATCTTCGTGATTTCTTAACTAAAATTCAAGATTGTTTTTGGAATGGTGGAGGAGCGTTCCAAGTCTTGCTAAATTGCATTGAAAGTTTTGTATAAAATTAGTCGATGAACCAAAATAACAATACTTATAATGCATGTTTCTTCTAAACGTATTTCTCAAAGTGAATAAAGACTATTGAACTCGTAGCAATTGAACAGAATATTTGCAGGTAGATGGATGTGGATTGAGTCGGAGCGTGAACAGACCTTTGTTCATCTACTCACACCACACCCACCCATACTCACCTATCCACATAGGTCCACACCCACACACTCTTTAACCTTCACATATCCTCACATATCCAATTCATGTTGGTGGGAGAATGGTGAGGAAGAGCCGAAGAGGCTTTAAAACATGTAGATAAATCATGACGAAAACAAAATGAAATGTAATTATTGGAGAAAAAGTTTCGTCTCTTCTCATGGACCATATCCGTTAATCTGAAATGAAGAGTTTGTAGGTATATCTAGCAATACATGAAGACACAGGGAACTTTTGAATGTGCATCAGGAATCGAAAAAAAAATGAAAAATCGATCGTTCGATTTGATTAAATTCTGTAGAACGTGTAATATGTTGGAATATTCAGAGGGTACATCAATTCTTTTGTGCTACCCTCTTCTTCATTCCGAATGTCCGTTGTTTTGTTCACTCATTCTTGTAAAATTAAGTTCAATAGACAGCACTTTTTTTCAAAACAACTTTGATTGACAGTTAGTGAATAAGAAAATGCATTTATAATTCTCTCTCTTCTATTTCTAATGAATAAATATGCCAAAGTAAACACTGATCATGTAGATATGACGCAGTGATCACTAGAGCTCAAAAGAACATTAATGATTGAATGGGATGAATATATCACTTATGAAAAGTAATGCAGCTGCGTATGTAAGTCGCTTTTCAAGGCTTGCAGTACCATTGGCTGGGCTGCCTCAGTAAGGTACTAATGAGAGCAGAATGCATGTTGGCGAGTCACCGTTGGTACAGATACGTATTCTGGAGACAATACCTGAATATGAGAAATTTCCGAGATTTATTTCGTAAGAGCAGAATATAAAAATTCAAACTGTCTAATGACGAGAGGGTCGAGACAATTCGTAAGAATTTATCTCTATAATATTATTCTGTTTTTTCGAGGGTGTGGGTGTGGGTGTGGAGTGTGGGTTTGGGTATGGGGTGCAGGTGTGGGTGTGGGTATGGGTGGGGTTGGGGTGTGGCTCTTATCTTCACACCCACACCCGCACGCACACCCACCCGCACACCGACGAAAAAACAGGATAATAT